CTGGGGGATGCTGGGGGAGAAGGGCCTGCTGGACTGGGGGATGCCCGGGGTGGGGTAGGAGAAGGGCTCGCTGGGCTGCGGGGTGCATGGAGGGCTGGGCCAAGGGCAGGAATCGGCCGGCTGCGGGGGCCAGGGTGTGCTGGACTGCAGGGCGCTATAGGGGAAGGGCTGGTCGGAGTAGGGGGTGCATAGGGGGAACAGCGTGGGGGACTGCGGGGTGCAGGGAGGCGAGCTGGGCTGCAGGGTGCAACAGGGGAAGGGCGAGCCCAGCTGCGGGGTGTGAGGCGGGGTGCAGCGGGAGAAGGGTCTCCGGGACTGCAGGGTGCACCCAGAGGTGCAGGAGCAGAGACGGGCTTGCTGCCTGGCAGGGGAGGTGCACTAGGGCGGGGGGTTGCGGGGTGCAATAGGGGAAGGGTCTGGGGAGCTGCAGGGTGCAAGGGGGAAGGGTCTGGGGTGCAGGGTGCAATAAGGGAGGGGTTTGGGGTGCAGCAAGGGAAGGGTTTGGGGGCTGCAGGGTGCAATAAGGGAAGGCTTTGGGGTGCAGGGTGCAGCAAGGGAAGGGTCTGGGGGCTGCAGGGTGCAATAAGGGAAGGCTTTGGGGTGCAGGGTGCAGCAAGGGAAGGGTCTGGGGGCTGCAGGGTGCACCGGGGGGCGCGGGAGGGGAGGGCAGGGGAGCAGGGCCGGAGTGCAGGCAAGGGGCGCAGGGCGCCCGCAGCCCCCGCTCCAGGCAGGGGGGGCAGGGCGCCCGCAGCCCCCGCTCCCCCCGCGCATGCGCCAAGGCACTCACCGCGTCCCGGGGGCTCCGCCGCGCGGGCCCCGCCCACCTCGCTCGCCGCCCATTGGCCGCCCCGCGAGGGCAACTCGCTTTCTATTGGTTAACCCTGCCGCCATTTCCTCGCAGGGCTGCGGGGCGGGGCTTAGCCTTAAAGGCGCCGGGAGCGGCGTGGCAGGGGTGGGGGTGCCGGGCGCCTGGTGCGCGTGGCGCCGGCGGTGCCGATTGCAGCGTGCCTGTTGCCCGGTGCTCATTGCACGGTGCCCATTGCATTGCCCGTGCACTGCACGGCCCCTGCTCCATCTCCCGCAGCGCGTGGGGCTCCACGCGGCGCAGGGTGCACGTTGCACGGTGCTCGTTGCTCTGTGCCCGTTGCACGGTGCATGGCGTGCACTGCACGGCCCCTGCTCCATCTCCCGCAGCGCGTGGGGCTCCACGCGGCGCAGGGTGCACGTTGCACGGTGCTCGTTGCTCTGTGCCCGTTGCACGGTGCATGGCGTGCACTGCACGGCCCCTGCTCCATCTCCCGCAGCGCGTGGGGCTCCACGCGGCGCAGGGTGCACGTTGCACGGTGCACGTTGCACGGCGCTCATTGCACGGTGCCCATTGCACGGTGCATGGTGTGCACTGCACGGCCCCTGCTCCGTGTCCCGCAGCACGTGGGGCTCCATGCGGCGCAGGGTGCATGTTGCACAGTGCGGCAGGCACAGCCTGCAGGGACTGTGGCCCTGTGCACCCTCCATGGGACTCCAGCTTCCCCTTGTTAGCGCTAGGGTGGTGCAGGGCAGCTGCAGGCAACGATCCTGGGCAGCACAGAGCGATTCCCCTGCAACCCGGTGCTCGGAGCACCGCACTCCACAGATGGGGCTGTTTCTGTCCTTGGGACAGGCCTTTGGGCCAGTTGCTTTCCTGCAGCAGAGCTGCGCCCTGGGAGCCCAAACCTCTGGGCAGCGACAAGCCGCGATGTCCAGATGTTTTCCAGCTCTCTGTGAGACTGCCAGCACAGAGACCGCGCCAAACTCATCTCACCAGTGGCCTCAGCCAGCCGCCAAGGGCTGGGAGCGCTCCCAGACCCTGGCTCTGCCTCCCCACCCCGTCCCAGGGCCGTCCCTGACCATGGATGGGGATGAAGGGGCCGACGCTGTGCGGGAGGGAGACGCCGAGGTGGGCGCTGGTGCTGCCGGCAGCCCCGGCGTGCTGCAGACACTTTATTCCCCGGCTGCCCCCTTTG